TAATCGTAGTACGCGTACGATAACTCTTTCTTCTACCACTACTAGTACGACTTTAGTTTGCATTGTTACTCATACTACGATGGGGACTACTAGTACTACGGTATGTACGGCTCCTACTACGATTATTACGGCCACCACTACGACTACTACTACTACTACTACTATTACTACTACTAGTAGGATTATCACTACGACTACTATTACTACTGATACCACTAATACGACAACGACGACGATTACGACTACCACTACTACTACTACTACTACTAATACTACTACTACTACTACTGCTACTACTACTACTACGGCTACTACTAGTACTTCTGCTACTACGTTTACTACTACTTCAACAACAAGTGCGACTATTACTAATAGTAGTATTACGACCAGAACTACGATTCTATTGGTATCACAGTTCGTATTGCTACATTCGTATCACAGTTCGTATCACAGTTCGTATCACAGTTCGTATTGCTACGACGATGACGACGACTACGACCATCAAGGTTATTAGTACGACTAGCACTACTTCTACTGCAACTATTAGTAACCGTAGTACTCCTACTACCACTACTATTACTATTATTACTACTACTACTACTACTACTAGTACTACTACTACTGCTACGGCTACTACTACTACTACTACTACGACTACGACTACTAATACTACTACTACTACTACTACTACTGTGACTACTACTACTACTACTACTACTACTACTACTACTACTACTACTACTGCGACTGAAAATACTACTAATACTACTTCTACTACTACTACTACTGCTACCACTACTACTACTACTACTACTACTACTACTACTACTGCGACTACTACTACTACTACCACTACTACTACTACTACTAGTACTACTACTACTACTACTACTACTACTACTACTACTGCGACTACTACTACCACTACGATCACCACTACAATACTAGTGCCACTCGTACAACTACAATTACAACTACCGCTACCACTATTACTACGGCTACTACCACTGCTACTTCTACTACGACTACTACTACTACTTTCTGTTATTACTTATTAGTATTACTACTACTACTACTATTACTACTACTGCTACTTTCTATTTCTACTACTACTACTACTATTGCTTCGACTTTTTATTTCTACTACTCTTCTTACGATGATTAGCCCTACTACTGCTAGTGTTACTACCACGACTACTGCTAGTTTCTCTACTACCACAGTTACTAGGACTACTACCATTATTATTGCTACTGCTACGACCTACTACGACTCCTACGACTATTGTTATTACGATTACTAGTGTTATTACTACCACTACTACTGCTACTATCACGACCAGTTCTACTACTACTACTACTACTACTAATACTACTACTACTACTACTACTACTACTACTACTACTACTACTACTACTACTACTACTACTACTACTATTACTTCGACTACTACTACGATTATTACTTCTACTTCTGCCACTACTATCACTACGATTACTACTACTACTACTACTACTACTACTACTACTACTACTACCACCACCGCTACTACGATAACGACACTTTCTTTCAATCGTAGTAGAGCTACTACGAATGCCACCTTTACGGCTACTATCAGTAGAAGGAAATGGGTTGGTACAGTTACGACGACAATTGCGAATTTTAGCTACGACTACTACTACTACTACTACTACTATCACCAACTACTACTACGGGCACTACGACTACCACTTCTACGGGCACTAGTTTTATCATTTGTAATGCTTCAACAACTACTGCTACAACGGTCTTTAGTATTACTACTGCGACGACTAAGACTACGACGGCTATTTGTTATATTCATATGACTACTACAGCCAGTAGTACTATTACTAGTACTACTACTACGGCTATTGCGAATACTCTTGCGAATACGGATGCCATTACTACTACCACGACTAAGACTACTACTACTACTACTACGACAACTACTACTACTACTACTACTACTACTACTACTACTACTACTACTACTCATACTACAACTACCACCACTACTACGGCTACGACGGTTACTACTACTACTACTACTACTACTACTACGACTACTACTACTACTGCTACTACTACTACTACTCCTACTACGACGACTACTAGTACTACTACTACTCTTACTGCTACTACTATCCCTACTCCTGGTATCACTATTACGACTACTGCCACTACTACTTTTATTATTTTTACGGCTACTACTATTAGTTCCACTGTTAATTCATTTTCTATGTCTGTTACCACTCACACTACGACGGCGACTACGGTTACTACGGCTCTTACGGCGGCTAGTACCATTACCATTACTAGTACGACGGCTACTACTACTACTGCTACTATTACTACTCTTACCACAACTATACTACTACTACTACTACTACTACTACTACTGCTACTACTACTACTACAGCTACGACTACTAATACTGCTACCACTACTAATTTGACGAAGGCGGCGACTATTACCTTTAATATTACCACGACTACGGCTACGACTACTACTACTACTACTATTACTACTACTACTTCCACTACTACTACTACTACTACGATTACGACTACTACTACGCCTGCTATTACTATTACCATCACGCTTACGACCACGAATTCAGTAATTGTTACTATTACTAACACTAGTATTTCTATCACTGCAACTACGACTTCTAGTATTAACGACACCGGCGACGACGACGACGACGACGACTGGTACTACTACGACTGCTTTTATTACTATTGCTACTACTACTACTACTACGACTACTACTACTACTATTTGTACTACTATTACTACAACTATTACTACTACTACTACTACTACTACTACTACTACTACGACTACTATTAATAATAGTAGTACTGTTATTATTACTTCTACTACTACTACGTTTACTACTACTACTACTACTACTACTACTACTACTACTACTACTACGGCTACTACGATTACTGCTACTACTACTACTACTACTACTACTACTACTACTACTACTACTACTACTACGACTATTACCTACTACTACTACGACCACTACTACTACTACTACTACTACTACTACTACTACTACTACTACTACTACTACTACTACTACTACTACTACTACTACTACTACTACTACTACTACTACTACTACTACTACTACTACTACTACTACTACTACTACTACTACTACTACTACTACTACTACTAACTACTACTACTACTACTACTACTACTACTGCTACTACTACTAGTACTACTACTACGACTACTACTACTACTACTACTACTACTACTACTACTACTACTACTACTACTACTACTACTACTACTACTACTACTACTACTACTACTACTACTACTACTACTACTACTACTACTACTACTACTACTACTACTACTACTACTACTACTACTACTACTACTACTACTACTACTACTACTACTACTACTACTACTACTACTACTACTACTACTACCACCAGTACTACGACTGCTCTTGCATCTTTTGTGTTGTGGGCCCTTGTTCGGTCCCCTCATCGATGTCTTGAACGGGGCCGAGACTTGACGCCAAACCACGTCCAAAAAGGCGGTTGATATTGTGCTACATCCGGCGACTCCTCTATTAAGTTTGCAGAACTTGAGTGCCGGCGGGCACCAATGAGGACATCAACGCGCGAATACCTCGCAACGTCGCGTGGCGCGGTGGGTGGGGGGGTCCTTTCATTATTTTCGGAGGCGAGCTGAGAATTTGCAGGAACACCTGCGGCACGACATGCGTGAGTGGTGACCCAAAATGAGCCTCAGCCTTGCCGTTTTGGACGCCATCTGAGAGTTTCCAGAGATCCATCGGGCACGACGGGGCTGGAGGTCTCTGGTGTTCGGGTATGGTGCGAGGCTCGTTGGTGCATGTGGATGGCCTCGGGGGAAGCCTCTTGGAAGCCTGTGCAGGCCTCCTGGGGACCTTGGCTCCTGGGGACCTCGGGGGAAGCCTCTTGGAAGCCCGTGCCCTCGGAAGCTGCACGCGCGAGCACAAAGCCTGAAAGGTTCGCTAGGCCCGCGGCTCCGAGCTGGATGCCCACGCCATGAAGAGGCCGCAAAGAGATTCGCGGCAACAGCCAACCACCGCCTGCCTGCCCCAACCCTCTCCCTCCCCCATCTGCTCTGCCCCTTCGCCGCTGCTTCCTCGGCCTCCCCTACTCTTCCTCCTTTCTCCACGGGCGCCTTCGCTGTCAGCGACGCTCCGCGTGACGCCCCCGGGCTGCCTGGCGGCTTCCTGTCTCGCGACGCAAACATTTCAAATGTGCACTTCCCGCCGCGCGGCGCTCGTCGTGGAACAGCTGGGGCGCTTCGGCGAGGGTTCCGCCTCCGAGGAATTCGAGGTCTTCGCATCTCGCCCTCGGTGGAACCCGGCGAAGGGCGGCGGAAGAAGACAGAGCGTACCCCCCGAGAAAGAGGGGGAGAGGTCAGCCCCAGCGTGCTCGGGGCTGTTCGAGGCCGGCCAGTCTCCGAGAAGCAAGAGGTCGTGGGAATGGTGAGAGGGGGCCGAACGGTCTTACATCCTCGCGGGGTGTGAGGATTATTGTTGTTTTTGTTGGTGTGTTGTTTGTTATTGTCGTCGTCCTCACTCGCGGCCCGCCGACGACCCGCCCGCGACCCACCCGCGACCCATCTGTGGCTCATACACATTGCGTTGAGGGAAATTCGGCGCCTGCGCCGGGCCCTTTATGCAATGGGTTTAGAATGGGCACCTGCGGCGGGATTCTTTCGAGCCTCGCAGACTGCCGACGACCCTGCGCCCCCTCACTCTTGTCCGCAACTGCGGGGGTATGTGGTCCGGTCCCGCATTTCCCACATTTCCCAGACTCCCTCGGTCTCTTATTGACCCGCACGGGCTCCAGGGACGAGGGCCGCTGGATACTCTGGCATCCCCGCGACGTATCTGGAGCCGATCGCATCATGACATCATTTCCGTCCTCTTCCTGGCGCCTTGGAGGCTAAGAAGAAGGGCAAGAGGAAGGACGGCGACAGCGACACGAGCGACGCCAGCGACGGCAGCAGGAGACGCGCGCGTGCCGCTTTGTGGGTCGGTCCCGGCCTCTCGGGCCGACCACAAGACAGGAATGGAGGAGGAGGAGGAGGAGGAGGAGGAGGCTCAGTGCAAATCCAAAATGTATCAACGATGTTGCAACACACCCTCCCTCCAAGTTCCCTCTGCACAGGGTCCCACCAGAATTGTCCCAAACAGTGATTCCACTTGGTGGGTTTTAGTTGTTTTCTACAGAACTCGGCCTGCCTGGCGGCCCAGCGGCTATGTTGCCGCCGTCGCCGCCTCATCGCCGCCACACAGGTTGCTCCACTCTACATACATTGCACCAGATAGACTGCACAACATAGATTGCGCCACATGCATTGCACAACATAGGCTCCTCCACACATATTACACACCATATATTGCACCAGATTGCACCACATAGGTGCAAAACATAAATGACACCACATGTATTGCACAATGCACGTTGCACCACTTAGGTTGCACCACATTTATTGCACAACACAGATTGCACAACGGACACTGCACCACATAGATTTCTCAACGTCGATGTCATAACAATTATTTTAATTCAAGTATAAGTGATCACTTGCATGTTGTTGTCGCTGTCTTCGGAACATTTTGGCAGGAAATCATGACCAGCGCGGGTGAAATATTGTTCGGGCGAGTTTGCACAATCCATTGCGTGGTTCAGTTGATGACCGCGGCCCTTCCCTGGCAGCTACCCCGAGAAAAGGCAAGCGAGAGAGAGGGAGAGAGAGAGAGAGAGAAAGAACAAACAAAAAGAGAGCAAGAGAGAGAGAGAGAACGAGAGAGAGCGGCAAGCAGCGACACGCAGCATTTTTGTTCCCCAAATCCCAGCCCCAGACCACGGTCTGGCCCCAGCCCTGGCCTCGGAAAACCATTCCCCAAACACATGTTTCTTTACTATCTGATTACCTTTCTGCTCTGGTCCCAGCTTCCTGGCCTGGGCCAGGGCAAACACCTCCCCAACACACATGTTTCTCTATGGTAGTTGACTGCCTTCGGGCTCCGGCCCCGGTGTCCAGGCCCCGGCCCTGGAGAGGACGCCCCAACACACATGTTTCTTCAGATGCTTGTATTACGTCGGGCCTGTCCCTCTACAGGGGGAAAATTCAGAAATAGTAGCAAAATAGTATGGGGACGATTCTGGGGCCATTTTTGAGTATTTGTTTTGTATGTTTGGCGTGTCTTTTTTCGTCCAACATCCGCCTGTGGGGGGACATGCCCGACCTGATATTTGTCTCTGCTTGCGTTTTTGGGCTCTGGCCCCGCCCCCGCCCCCCCCCCCGGCCCAGGCTCCAAAAAAGAGCTCTCCGGACACACGTTGTCCTTTATACTTCGGTGGAGGCGTTGGTTAAGGGATCGTCCCAGGAGGCGCCAGACCCTGGAGGGTTCCTGAGCCAATGAGGGCGGCGGTGATATCCAGGGCCGATCCACGACTGGAGTTCCACTGGCTCCCAAACCCTGGGTTCCTTATCGAAGGGTTCCTTCTCCAATGCCCCCACCGTATCTGGTGGCGTTCCGGGGACAACTGTCCCTGGCACCTGTCCCCGGCAATGGCGGGGGCACCTGTCCCCGGTATGCCGAGGACACCTGTCCTGCATTGGCCCGCGGAAAACGACTCGCCGAACACATTTGTTTTCTTTATCTGATTGATTTGACCGCGGTCTCGGCCGGCCTGGGCCACAGAAGCGACCCCCTGAACACATTTCTGTTTACGATTTGATTGCCCCGGCCCCAGCCCCTTGCCCCGGCTACGGAAAACGTACGTGTCCCAAAACATTTGCCTTTATTATCTATGGCGTCCATGGGGACACCTGTCCCCGGCATGCCTCCTGGCCTGGGCCGCGGAAAGCGACTCCCCAAACACTTTGTTCTTCACGATTTGAGTGCCTCCAGGCTCGGGCCCAGGCCCTGGCCGGCCTGGGCCACGGAAGCGACTCCCCAAACACAGATTTATTTACCATGTGATTGTCTCTGGGCTCTTAAGCCCGCCCCGCCCAGCCCCTCGCCCGACAGGGACTCCAAGACGCTTGCTCCTATCTGATTTGGTGTGCTGCAGCTTGCTCGCGACCAGCGTTTGCGACCCACGCCTGCGACCCACGCGTGCATGCCAAGGTCAAGTGAGGGTCACAAGAGTTGCCATCTCTTCCGCGGCGGAAGGGCGGCGGAAGGGCGGCGGAAGGGCGGCGGCGGCAATCAGATAATAAAGGAAATGATGTTTGGGACGTGTCCCCAGCATGCCAGGGACACTTGCCTCCAGCACCTGTCCCCGGAATGCCAGAAAATCGGGGAGCACTTCTCCCGGGCCGGGTCTGGACCGGGACAGGGCCGGGCAGGTCCGGGGCCCAGGCCATGTCCGGGCTGGCTCCGGCGGGGTCCGGGTCCAGGGCCGGGTCTGGGTCCGGGTCCGGGCCCGGGTCCAGGGCCGCGCCAGGTCCGCGCCAGATTTGCGCCGCGTTGTGCCGCGCCGTGCCAAGCCGCGTTGCGCGTGCCACGCCCCTGGCGTTTTGCTCTGCGCGCCATGTCGCGCGCACTACTGCGCGCCGCGCGCGCCCTGCCACGAACGCCGTGCCGCGCGCGCGTGGCGCCGCGCGCCCTTGCGCCGGGCGCGCTGTGCCGCCCGTGCCGTTCTGCCGCGCGGTGCCGCGTGCGGTGTCCGTTTCGTTTCGTTGGCGCGTCTCGCTCTTTGTTCCCGGCCCTCCCTGGCTGGGCATTTGTTTTGGATCGAGGGTAGAGCACTGCGGTCGTGTCCTCCTTCCCGTCCCGCCTCCCTCCTCTCTCGTCATCTCTTCTCCTGCTCTCTGCAGTATGCTTTTTGTCCAGCCCTCCTGTGTTGGGCTTTCGTTCTGAACGGGGGGGCACTGCGGCCTGCGTCCTCCTTCCCGCTCCCCTTCTGCTCTCCCCAAATAGCCTATCCCCTACCATCCTTGGGCGGGGACTGCGATCTGTGAAATTGCCATCGCTTGCGAGGGCTGCTGGGGGGGGCTGTGGAGTGACCTCACGCGGGGAGTCATATTGGACCTCGCCATCCCTGGGGGGGGCTGCGACCTGCGAGACTGTTGCCACTTTCGAGGGCTGCTAGGGGGGGGGGGAGGCAGTGTAGTGACGTCCTCGGGGGATTCAGACTCGACCTCGCCATCCCTGCGGGGCTGCGATTTGCGAAATTGTCGCCACTTTCGACGGCTGCTGCAGGTGGGGCGGCTGCTCTCGGCGGCAGGGGGGGGCGGGCGCATAGCGACGTCCTGCAGATATTGAAATTGGCCTTCGCCGTTCCTGGGGGTCTGCGATCTGCGAATCCGTCGCCACTGTCGAGGGCTGCTGCCAGGGAAGGGGGAGGCAGCGCAGCGACGTCCTACGGGGATTAAGATGCGGCAGCGATCTGCAAAATTGTCGCCACTTTCGACGGCTGCTGGGGGGGCAGCAAAGCGACGTCCCACGAAGGTTCAGATTAGATCTCGCCATCCCGGGGGGCTGCGATCTGCGAAACTGTCGCCAGTTTTGGGAGCTGCTGCGGGGGCCAGCATGCTGCCGTCCTGCGGGCATCCAGATTTGACCTCGCCATCCTTGTGGGGCTACGATTCGCGAAATTGTCGCCACTTCCGAGGGCTGCTGGGGGGGGAGAGTGGAAGGGAGGTGGGAGCAGCGCAATGACCCCCGCGGGGATTCGGACTAGGGTGGGCTGCGATCTGCGAAACCATCACCGCTTTCGAGGGCCGCGGGGGGGCCGGCACATTGTGGCCCTGCGGAGGTCCAGATTAGACCTCGCCATCCCCGGAGGGCTCTGATCTTTGAAACTTGTCGCCACTTTCAGAGGCTCCGGCGGAGGCCGGCATGCTGCGGTCGTACGGGCATCTCTGGTGGGCTGCGATCTGCGAGAGTGTCGCCGCTGTGGAGGGCTGCTGGGGGGGGCAGCATAGCGCGGTTCGACAGAGAATCTGATTTGACCTCGCCATCCTCGGGGGACTGCGATATGCGAATCTGTCGCCACTTTCGAGGGCTGCTTGGGGGGCCAGCACAGTGTGGTCCTACGCACATTCAGATTAGACCTCGCCATCCCTGCGGGACTGCGATCTGCAAACTTGTCGCCATTTTCGGGGGCTGCTGGGGGGCCAGCAAAGTGCGGTCCTGCGCAGATTCAGATTAGACCTCGCCATTCCTGGGGGGCTGCGATCTCTGAAGCTGTTGCCTTTTTTGAGCGCTGCTGGGGCCTCCTCCTCCCTGACCGGCACGCTTCCCAGGTGGGTCCCAGGGGTGCCTAGGTGAGCGAGGCCCGAGCTCGCGCCCCCGCACCACGCTGCTTGCTTGTCCTGCTGCAGTTGAGGCTTCCCTTCGGAGCTGCTCTACTAGGCAATCCTGCTAGCCAGTCAGAGGAACGCCCTCGCAATGCCCGCGGCCAGTCGGCAACAAGCCTCCTCCTCCTCCTCCTCCTCCTCCTCCTCCTCCCCCTCCTCCTCCTCCTCCTCCTCCTCCTCCTCCTCAACAGGCCCTGCTTTTTGGGCCAGAGGATTCCCCTCAGCGAGGTCGCAGACGATTGCCCATGGTGGCAGGATCCTGTCCATGCTTTTCGGGAGGAGCACTGCTTTGGATCACAGTCGTTCCGTTTCGTTCCGTTCCGCTCCGTTCCGTTCCTTTCTTTTTGTGGTTGGAGTTGTAGGCACCTGAGTTCATGGACATGGCTGGACGCTGCCATCCTCTGCTCCTCCTCACCTTTCTCCTGGGTTTCGGATTGGCACGGGGGACGGAGGGACGGAGAAGGGGGAGGAGGAGAGGGTGGAGGGAGGGAGGGGGGAGGGAGGGAGGGAGGCAGGGAGGAGGGAGGAAGGGAGGCCAAATGGGACGGAGGCAGGGAGGGAAGAAGGACGGAGAAGGGGGAGGGAGGACGGAGGGGACGAGGACGAGGAGAGAGGCAACGGCTGCCCACCCGGATGTCGTCCTGCACAGTCGCGTCCTTGGTGTCGGGCACGGACTCGACCAGAGAGAACTCGG